AGTATAGTGTGACGATTAATTGCGTTATAAGAAATGAAAGGGTTTAATCACATTTAAAATGGTCTCGATTGGAGGGAGAGCCCAATTTAAGAGTTAGATTTTTAGTGAAATGGTTGGAGATACTACATATCGTAAAAAAACGTCACTCGTCGGTAAGAATCAATAATCGTTTTTAATAAAAAAAATCAATCACAAAAAAAGTTTGTGTTAGAAATGTGATCTACGTATCATGTTGGCTAGAAAATGAGATTATCATAAAAATATAACAAGTGATATCATAATTGTGAGATTGTTGACGTTTAGTGATATCTCGAGTGACAAACGTAAGTGGTAAACTTTGATAACGTAGTCAAGTGATCTAGATAGATAGAGTACTCGAAAAAAGAAGAAATGCTAGTTTGAATAAGACCAAACTCTCGAGAAAGCTAGGAAAGTGGGAAAAAAAATAACTATTTGAATAGAGATTAAGTGATCTTTTGTTCGAATGGAAGATTGTGAGATTGATATCAAAATCAAATTTTGGCTAAGGAATGGAAATATCATGAGTATATAAGTGATGAAAAAATCTCTAGTGATATGAGACATTTTAGTGATTCCAAATATAATAGAAAGACCGATGCACAAAGTGAACAATATCATGTCATTTTGGGGATAGATGAATAATATCGGATATCCTAAATACTTTGCAACCATTACTCAATATAATGTATGGTGTCACAATTTTACTAAGAAAATAGTAGGTTATGACATCCATTCGGTCACGTGAGAGTCAAGACAAATAAGTCCGGTTGGGTTTTATGTCCTAAAACTCATCGTTTGTAAACAAAAACATATTCTATTTTCAATAAAGTTATTATTGTTGTTTATTCGGTAAAGATTGTTATTGAATAAAGTGAACTTTACGATTATTAATCTAAATCCAATAAACTAAGAACACTCTGACTATAGTATGATTACTTGAACTATATGTAAAGACATAAGAGTGGATCAAGTTCAAGTATATAGTCAAAATGATCTATAGTACATAGATAAGGCTGAATACCTTATCCTGGGGACACTATGAATGCGGCCCACTTTTGTATATGACATAAACAATGTGATCATTAAATTGTACATGTGGAGACATGTGAGTAGGGGCGTCCTATGTAATGAGTATTGCATAAGATCGGACCATGAAGAAAATCACTCTCACTTTATAATGTCGCTTACTGCTGAGACTGATTTTATTTTCATTTGATGACCTAGGTAACTCGATCTTAATACTGAGCTAACCATGAACTTCTGTTTATTCGGAATTATCCTTAGATTTGTATGGGTGAGAGTGGCTCAAGTTCACCGACTCAATAGGTCTCCCATTTCAGGGGTAAGACTGGGTAAATGGCTGGGGACGTGGGGTGCGAGATGGAACCCACTCCTACCCACTTTTAGGGATAGAAGAGAGGTAGTTCCCTTAAGTACTGACTCCAGGTCTTGAACAAGGGGCCCCGCCCTCTCATTGGCCTGAGAGGGATCCGGTTTACTGGTTGGACCACAAACCAATTGTTCATTAGAGGATCAGTGAGACATAAGAAACAATAGGTAACTTCAGGGGTAAAACGGTAAATTGACCCAGCTTTAGTTACGAACAACCTGTGAAGGATTGACTTACTAATCATGATTATATCAAATGGACAGAAATATATTTATAGTGAGGAGAGTGCAACTACTAGGCTATAGTGGAATGTCCTAGTAGTTAACGAATGTTGGTTAATAAGGTTAATGAGTTTAACCAGTTAATCTTGGATCGTTCGAGCCCATGACCTATTGGTCCATTAAGTCCCTCAGCTAGCTCATATCGAACTAAACCATAGAATAGTGTGACGAGTGAGTTCGAAGTGTTCGAATTCAAATTAGGGAGAATGCGCTACATATATATGATATATTTAACCGCATTTTAATGCGCTACATATATATGATATATTTAACCGCATTTTTTGTTTTATTTACGAATTAAACAAAAAGAGAGAATCTGAGATATTTAAATAAGATTTAATATCTTAATCAAATATGTGTCGGAATTAATTGGGATTGACATTTGAATTAATATTACTTTAATTTGAAATTAATAATTCAAATTGATTGTTGAATCAAAATGAAGAAAGTCTAACATGTTGACTTCATTTAATGGAAAAGTCTATGTTAGTGGAATTTTGAGGTGTCAAAATTTGATTTAACCAAAATTACATGCTTGCCAAATAAACCCCACAAATTTGAGTAGAATTTTGAGTATCAAAATTTGGTTAACTCAAGCATGCATGCTTGCCACATCATCCCAAACATTTGAGTGCAATTTTGACACTCAAAATTTGGTGATCTCAAATTTGCATGAACATGCAAACATGACTCTATAAATAGAGTGATCATAATACATGAAAGGTCGTTCTTCTTGGTGAAAAACCTTGAGAAAAACCTCTCACAAACACTCTATATATACAAAATCCCTCTCAAGTTTAAGTCACTCACCGGATTCCACAATCCCGTTGTAAGGCCGGAGGATAGTGGAGAAGACACTAATGGTGGTTCGAAACCGGTTCGTGAGGAAAAAGGAACTTGAACTACAAAATTAGTATTCAAACTTATTAAGTTTTAATACTTATGAACATGCTAGTTATTTACTATAATTGATGTTCTAAAAGTGCCTAAAATCTAAATTGCTTCCGCACGTGTTATATTAACACCATCAAGTCCATGATGTGATAAAAAAAATGATGCATCATCCAACAGACTAAAATAAGTGTGCATTAAAGCCAAGTTGAGGCATAATAAAAGTTTGAGAGAATGAGGCTACATGAGTGTCAAAGACAAGCCTGAGAGGGCTGTTGATAAGATAAATAATCACTACAAGGGGAGTAAGATTCGAATTACCTTGTGATCGAATATCTCAAGGCAAGAATATTGTTTGAGATTCGAATCACTCCAAAAGCGAGATCGATCATGTCTAGCTTGAATGATTCTTGTTGATCAAATATCTCAAACACTTGTTTGAGATTCGAATCACTCCACAAGCAAGATTGATCATGTCGAGCTTGAATGATTCTACATGCAACGTAAACTACATAGAATTGCAAATAAACTTAGCAATGGGCTAAAGAAAGCACAAATGCATCTTTTACTATATATTTTCCAAGTCTCTTATAAATACAACATACATGGCTCTATATAGCCTCAAAATGAAACTACTAAAGTTGTAACATTCATACTTAATGGTCATAATTAACCATTATCTAATTATAACCTAAAGTAAATAAAAAATCCTAAAAACTCTAAATTACTCTAAATTGAAACCCACCCAAAATTTATAACAATCAAACTTCATTCTTCTTCAATGTGGCATGAATGAAAACATCTTTTGATAATTTTGACAACCTTTTCTTCACATCTTCATTGAAGTATATTGTATGATTGATGTTTTTTGGTTCATATCAGCTGTGTAGGCCTCGAGCCATAACCTAAGAAGTTGGTGTGTTTGATATGAGTTTCTACATGCGGCTCTAGAGTTAAGTCCGTCTATATGAAAGATGAAAGCTAACCAAATTTGGTATCAATTGATATTCGATGGACACTCCAAGAGGCTTGGGGCTATATGATCGTGCGCCAAAATAATGTTTACTCCATAAAGATTTGAAATGCCCCAAAATGTACTTTAGAGGGAGGCATGGTGTTAGCTCTCTATGACCCCTAAGCCATGTGGCCTAAGCAAGCTACCTTGTGACACATATGTGTCACAACAAGAGCGAATGTCTCAAGTGACTTCCTTTGAAATGGATCGTTCAAGGATAGTGTTGGACAACACGGGTGTGCTGACATCGTGCCCCAACCTATGTGAGTTTGGTATATGCACCCTCTATTCCGTAAAGAGTCCCTAAATGACATGACATAAACATGAGAGAGTTCATGCTCTGATGAGAACTTAGATGAATTGATGTTTGAGATATCCTAACGAGATGAGCGATACATGGGTCGATCCCGGTAGACATGTCCGAGCAAACCAAGATGGTTGAACTATCTTGAGATATGGTGTATGATGCATGCCCCATGTACTAGGACATAAATAAAAGGAAGAACAAAACGATTCTTCTTTATGCTATAATTTTAAGTCACGGAGACCTCATGCATTTATGTATGTCATGTGTATCAGAATACTTCTTCATTATGTTATGTTAGTATGGACGCGTACCTTCGATATTTATGTTCGTCATGATATCATGTGAATTTTTCCTCTATGGTGTTTGACGACACGTCAGCACGTTTAACCCGATGTAGTGACGTCTCTTATCTAGGTAAGAAAATTAAGGGCAAGTCACAACAATTGATTTGTTTTATCCCACTTGGGCATTGGAAGACAAATGGAGGATACATTATTTTACGACTTCAATTTGGCCTCTCGATTCATTTAACTCGAGTTTGATATCTTCAAACCCTTTTTGAGGTTGGCTGAATTGGCACGGGTTTGATATTTTTATACCCTTTTGAGACCAGCTAATACGGGTCTAATACTTTCTAACTCTTTCCTACCATTCACGTTTTCAATGTTAGTATGACTAATTTTTAGCTAATTTAAATTATTTAGAGCTAATTTTAGATTATTTTATGCAAATTAGGTGAGTCAATTTCTATAATACACTGCGTGACTCCTTGAGTGAAATTAAATTTGAAGGAGCAATTTTAAGCTAGCACAGGGAACAAAGTGACTAACCTTAGACCAACCAAATTGGCTCTTCAAGCACGTTGAAAATTCGCCCAAGAGTCGCTCCACAGACTGGAACACTTAGAAAAGCTCTCATGTTAACCACTTCAATTCCTCTCATTAGACCATCTATAGCACTCATAGCTACAGCTCTAACCCGATTATTTCCTAATAATTGTTGTACTTCACAAGTCACATTAATTTCTTGACCGACAGCATCTTGATCTTTAACTATCAAAGCGTTGCAAATATTAGGCATTTTGCCCGAGGGAAAAGCTACATCTAGTATCGGACCAATGATTTGAGTGATACGTCCCAAGTTGTGTTTTTTCAAGCGTGGAAACTTCAGGACCAGAAGTAGTAGGATTTGTTCATAAAAAATGAAATATGTCGAAATTTTTTATTATTTATTCTCCAACTTCTCTTAATTATTATTTTTAAAGAATATATATTCAAATTGAGTGGGTCATTTCTGACACATTATCTTTATTTATTTTCATAGCACATTTGAACCGGTAACACGAGGATTTTGAATCTTATGCTCTACTAAGTGAGCTATGCTGGCCATTTCTGACACATTATTTTTATTTATTTTCATAGCAGATTTGAATCGGTAAGATGAAGATTTTGAGTCTTCTGCTCTACTAACTGAGATATACCGGTCATTTCCTTTTCGACACATTAGACTTATTTTCATAGCATATTTGAACTGGTAACACGAGGATTTTTAGTCCTCTACTCTATTAAGTGAGGTATACCGGCCATTTCTTTTCCAACACATTATCTTTATTTATTTTCATAGTAGATTTGAACCGGTAACACGAGGATTTTCAGTCATCTGCTCTACTAAGTGAAGTATACCGATCATTTCCTTTCCGACACATTAGACGTATTTTCAATAGCAGATTTGAACCGGTAACAGGAAGATTTTGAATCTTCTTCTCTACTAACTGAGTTATACCTGCCATTTCCTTTCGAGACACAAAATTTAATTAAATATTTAAAAATAAATAAATAAAATTGAAGTAAATAATTCAATAATTTATTTATTATTATTATTTTTTATTATTTTTTAACTAATGACCTCCCCCAGATCCGACAGGCCCACAATTGGGGAAGATTACGACATCTATTGCTGCTTCGAATCCGGTGTTTATTTCTCCTTGTTTTACTCAAACGTGGTCTTGCCTGCCACCTCAGCCACCCACTTATTTATTTTTTATTATATTATTATTATTTTAATATTATATGGTCGACAAATTTGTATAAAATTAAATAATATATAAAGAAATACCCATATTTTATGGGTCAACCCAAGCCCCATGTTTCTTCCACGTGGCCCGGGAATATCTTTTACTTCTTTTTAATGTTTTTTATTTTTATTTTTTAATTTGATTGATAAATGAGAGTATTTTTATAATTAAAGCTATACAGAAAGGAGAGTTAGACCGTTCATTATAGATATTTGTCTTACATTACGGCTTACCATATTTGTCCTTTTAGAAAAGGCAAATGTATTGTATTCATTTATGACTCTTTTCTTTTATTTTTATTTTCATATTATTTGTAATTTACTGTATTCGGTAAATGATTATAAATAAGAGAACTCTCACCACAAATGGTGTGTATTCAGCAAACATTTACATTATCATTAAATAATACATATGCTAAAATGATATTTTAACTTAGAAAACGATGCATATTATATAGTTTAACATCGAAAATTTAACTTATTAATCGAGTATATTATATAGTGTTGTATTGAAGTTGATTTTAAATAAAATTTCAGATACATTATATATGTCGATATTTATATAATATAGTGTTGAAAATGAATTGATACATGTCTCCAATAATGAAAAATTAGTCAAAACATAACATGCTAATCTGTGTCTCGAATATATAATATAGTTTATTTTATTTCTATATCTCTCTCGGTTGATTCTAGGCATTTTCCTCAATCTCGTATTTCTTTTTGCTTTATTTATTGTATCAATTCAATGACTATAAATTTTCTTTCTTAATCTTTTTTTTTTTTCTCGAGATAGAGATATTTCATAAACTTTACAAGAGGTCGTCCAACATAAAATTGCACTTTATTAACGTACATTTAAATTTAAAGTTTCTCCATCGATTATTTTAATTAAATGGAGACAAATGTTCCCAAGTCCAAGGAGATATTATATATATATATATATATATATATATATATATATATATATATATATATGCCAATTTTGAATTGGTTCCTTGTTGTGTGCATCTTTTAATTATAATTTACTTATTACCAACTTATTCTTATTCCCTTTTGTCACGAGACACTAGATAATCAATTTGCAACACTTAGGCTTCTAATCTATTGTTAATGGAAATTATGTGTTTCGTGAACGAAAAGTTAGACGCTTGCCCTGCTCCTTCCTTAAAATATTCGACATTCGAGGATTTGCCAATCTATTAGGCACGGCTAAGTACCTTCAAGGAGGCTTGTTCGACATTCGAGGATTTGCCAATCTATTGGGCACGGGTAAGATTAGAGCATGACTCTGATACCATGTTAGACGAACACGACTCTCCACAATGGTATGATATTGACCACTTTGAGCATAAGCTCTCATGGCTTTGTTTTGGGCTTCCCAAAAGACCTCATACCAATAGAGTTAGTATTCCTCACTTATAAACTCATGATCATTCCCTAAATTAGCGGATGTAGAACTTTCATCATCCAGCACTTATCTACTTCTATCTTTAAAAGACATTTTTTATTCAAATCCTGATTTTTTTTTTTTTTTGTTCGATTTCTTTGTGGTGACGGGTTGGTTGGAGAGATAATCGAGAGAAGGGATGAGAGGTTAAAGGAAAGAAAAATGGGGTAAGATAAATTCACTTTTGATACTTTATTCAAAATCGAGATTATATTATTATTAATTATAAAAAAGAGCAGTTATATTAATTATTTTTTTTTTAATCTCAAACATTTATTTATATATAATATATTATAGAATGTTGGAGTTTATTTAATAATTAAAAAATATAAAATAAAAACGTTTTAAGAATGATTGTAATTGGATCAATGTGAAACTGATCGCTGTAATTAACTAATAATTAATTAATTAATTAATTAATTAATTAATTATCATTATTATTATTTTGGTTAACATGAGAGCCTCACATGCTTGAGAAAGCCAAAAACCACTCTGACAAAATATTATTTTTTATTTTTATTATTCTCGAAATAAGTCATTTATTTTTCTTTAAAGTAAGTTTATTTATTAATATTTTGAAGATTTTATCAATTATTACCCCCAACTTGATAATTATTCCTGTATTTAATTATTATGTTCCAAAATTAAAAAAGACTTAAAATTGAAAATTATTACATATATTTTTGAGCTAAATAACTTTTTTTATTAAAAAAAATTAAGCCTAATTTTTTTATTATTATTAAAAATTATATTGTTTTAAACTTTAAGAAAATCCATTATAATAATTATTTAATGTGAACAAAATTTCCCCTTTTTTATTTGGATATTAAAATAATTATAACTAATTATGATGGAGTGCACGAGCGTAATAAAATAATATAATTTAATTTCATATTCATAATTTATATTATTATAAATAAATTAGATGCTCATGTACTCTAGGTGTCATAATCCCACCAGCTTTTACATTGATTCGTCCTTGCATCCCTTACGACATGGTCACGTTTATTATTTCTGGCTTCAAAGAATGAAAACTATTCTCACAGTAACCATGAAGTTTCTATGATTAAGCCACCGAAAAAGAAGTTACACTTTGTTAGTATAGATAGTGACTTTCAATTTTTAAAACTTTTCTTAGTCATCCTATTCACGGAATCATTCTCATTTATATATGGTCTCAGTTCATTCATATACCCCTTCTTTATAGGTCACAAAAATTATCACTTTTTTTTTTTTTTTGTATATAATAACTCGGGCTTTGTTCACTTAAATCTAATTTTATAAATTTGTAATATTGATGGGTAGATTTTTAAATTTTTCATACAAACTATAAAAACAAATTAATTATTTTATAATAAATAAAATAATCATCATAATATTAAATTATGCAAAGGATAATAATGATGTTTGTTATTATAGTAAATCATTCTTGCACTTTTGAAACCTTTTCTTTTTAATTATATTAAGGTCAATTATTAAATAAATAAATAAATAGATAAAAAGCGTGAAATGACCTTTATGTACATATGTCAAGTTTTTTAAAAAATACCTATTAAATTTGGATAAAAACCGTTAATACCTTGTTTTAAAAATACCCTCGGTTCTTAAGAGTGTTTAAAAAAGCTGACGAAGGAGATGAGTCAAACAGAGAGTCTATTGGACGGTCGAAGCAAGCCATCGGATGTTCAACAAGCAGTTTCACGATCAGGTATGACCTGAAAGTTGTCATTGTATACTCCTATGAGTCGGAAGGCAGTGGAGGAAAGAGAAGGACACTGAGCGTTCAAATTCCCCTTTAAGGTGAAGATTGCAATGCCGAGTATCAAATAATATCGGGTGAAAGCGTAATTTGGGCGAAGATTCATGCAAATATTAAAAAAAAAATTGGAAAAAAAGGAAAAAAAAAAAAGTATAGAAAAAGTATAGTTTAATGTTGTAAATAATAATTAAAGTAGAAATGAAAAAAGTAGCATATATTATAATTATTATGGGGCGCTCTAGAAATTAAAAAGCAGCCGCCGGGTCCCACTCCCTATAGACAAAATCATGCATAAAGCTTAGCCACCCATATCACTACACTATCAATCAACACAATATTCATATATATATATGAATATAATATTTTTATGATAATACTCATCAAATTTTAAAAGTAACATTAACGTCATTCATCTGTATAAAAAAAATCTTATCGTCAATAATATGAATGAAAACTGTATATCGACACTTCATACATTATCTATGAACGTTTTTCATATTAGGTTGGAAAGTTCATGAGTATTTTTTAAATATAGTACTAATGAAAAAAATATTTTTGAACTTTTTTTTTTTTTTTTTTTGCAGAGAATTACCGGCCTTTCGGAGCAAGGTTCTTTAGACTATTGTTCTCATCAAATATACCGAACTTAGTATCGGCAATAGGTCTGTGGACCGCTTGTAGGGCTTGATAGGTGGTGGTATCACACCCTTCCCAAAGAACCGTACGTGACACTCTCGCCTCATACGAGTTTGTCCTGGCATTAGGACCTACTCTTTCCTTTGACCATTGGGTCCTCGAACTAGAAGCAATCTTCTTCTAGTTGCGAGATGAAATCTGGCAGCTAATTGCTGGCTCTGAATAACAAGCCCGGTAATCAATTCAATTCTTCCATAACATAATGGGGCATGGTTGCGCACGAGCCGAGAAGCAGCCTGGTCTTAGAGTTCTCGGTGCTGAAGGTCCCTCGATTCAAACTCCAGTTGTCTAAACTCTTGTTCTTGTCTTACTAAAAATCATTCATAAATGATAGACTCGAAGGACCTGGAAATGCTATGAGATGTTCAAAAATAGTTGAAGTTAGTTGAATATGAGGGTCACTGTGATTATAGAAACAAACATATAGAACATATTTTAAACTATTTTTTTTAGGAGACAAGTTTTATAGTCTTGAAGGGAAGTTCGAAACGATTAACTCAAAAAAGACAATATCTAGCGGTGAACTTGAACCGTTACACTGAATTTAAAGATATTTTTATTAATTTAAGAAACCGAGGCTACCAACCAATCTTGTTGGTCAAGAATAATGAACTGTGTGGGACGAACTTACAATTCTTTAATTTTCTTTGGTTAGATTAGCTTGCACTACCTTGATCAAATTTGTACCAATAGACTATTATTTCATATCTCCATATTTCATCCACTTTAAACTCTTATTATAATATAACTTCTAAATTCATTTTTTAATGTCTATTTTCGATTTTTAACAAATTAGTAATATATAAAATATAGAGTATGGGTTTAGCATGTGTGACACTCAAGTAAAATATCGTCCACTGTAACAGTTCAAGTATATTATTAGAAGATATTGTCTGCTTTGACTCGTTACGTATTGTTGTCAGTCTCATGATTTTAAAAATCAATTATAGAGAGGTTTCCACACCCTTATAAGAAATGTTTCGTTCCTCTCTCTAACCATTATGGGATCTCACAATTCACTCCCTTAGGGACCTAAGGTTCTGGCTAGCACACCGCCCAGTGTCTAACTCTGATACCATTTGTAACAATTCGAGAGGTTTTCACACCCTTATAAGGAATGCTTCATTCCCCTCTCCAATCAATGTGGGATCTCACAATCCACCCACTAGGGGGCCCAACGTTCTCGCTAACACACTACTTAGTGTCTAACTCTGATACCATTTGTAACAGTTGAAGCACACCTCTAGCAGATGTTGTCTGCTTTGGCCCGTTACATATCGTTGTCAGTGTCACGATTTTAAACGCATAAGTTGGGGAGATGTTTCCACACCCTCATAAGGAATGCTTCGTTTCCCTCTCCAACCAATGTGGGATCTCACAATCCACCCACCACTAGGGGGCCAAACGTTCTCGCTAACACACCGCTTAGTGTCTAACTCTGATACCATTTGTAACAGTTGAAGCACACCTCTAGCAGATGTTGTCTGCTTTGGCCCGTTACATATCGTCGTCAGTGTCACGATTTTAAACGCATATGCTAGGGAGATATTTCCACACCCTCATAACGAATGCTTCGTTCCCCTCTCCAACCAATGTGGGATCTCACAATCCACCCACTTGGGGGCCCAACGTTCTCGCTACCACACCGCCTAATGTCTAACTCTGATACCATTTGTAACAGTTGAAGCACACCTCTAGCAGATGTTGTCTGCTTTGACCCGTTACATATTGTCGTCAGTGTCATGACTTTAAGCGCATATGCTGGGGAGATGTTTCCACACCCTCATAAGGAATTCTTCGTTCCTCTCTCCAACGAATTTGGGATCTCACAATCCACCCCCTTGGGGGTCCAACGTTCACCTTGGCACATCACCGATGTTTATCTCTAATATCATTTGTAACAGCTTAATCACACCTCTAGTAGATATTGTCCGCTTTGGCACGTTATGTATCACTGTCAACCTCACAATTTCAAAACGCGTCTGCTAGGAAGAACCTCATAATTACTCTGTGGGAATAGTCTTCATTGTTAAAAGCGATAAGTAACGTAATCGTGTTATAAGGTAATACTAGAGCTATTAGATACGAAATCTTGATCTAGATCTGGAGGTAAAAACCAAAATAATGTATTAAAATAAAAAGTATAGAGTATTTAAAATCATATATGAAAATAATTTCTCATTAAAATTAATTAATTGGGGTTGGTGGATTATGATGTCTCTCTCACTTACCTTGTCCTAAGCATTGATGACAGCCCATTTGACTATTCAAAATTGGATCCTTTTATATATATATATATATATAATATTGAGATTAAAATAGTGAAATTACCATAATGGGTCGAGTGATGAAATGGTAAATTTTTGAAGCTATAAAAGGGAGTGTTTAGGCATTGCTTAAGAACTCACAACCAAACCAAAGATGGGGAAAAGAGGTTCCTCAATGGCCTCTTTGGCGGTTGCCATTTTGGCAACATTGCTCTCTTTAACCTTGCCTTCTAATGCCAATGAGTATCTCTACTCTTCCCCTCCTCCTCCGACTCCCGTTTATCACTACAAGTCCCCGCCCCCGCCTCCTCCTCCGCACAAGAAGCCTTACCATCCGCCTTACCACTACAAGTCTCCTCCACCACCTCCGCCCGTGTACAAATATAAGTCTCCTCCACCACCTCCACCGTACAAAAAACCATATCACCCACCTTATCATTACAAGTCTCCGCCACCTCCTCCACCTGTTTACAAGTATAAATCTCCCCCTCCACCACCGCCATACAAAAAACCGTACCACCCTCCGACACCCATTTACAAATATAAGTCTCCTCCACCACCGGTTTACAAGTACAAGTCTCCTCCACCTCCGCCACCTTATAAGAAGCCGTACCATCCGCCTACACCAATTTATAAGTACAAATCTCCACCACCACCATACAAGAAGCCGTATCACCCACCCACACCGGTTTACAAGTACAAGTCTCCACCACCACCAGTGTACAAATACAAGTCTCCTCCANCACCACCACCATACAAAAAGCCATATCATCCACCTACGCCGGTTTACAAGTACAAGTCTCCACCACCACCGGTTTACAAATATAAGTCACCACCTCCACCCCCACCATACAAGAAGCCATACCACCCTCCCACGCCGGTTTACAAGTACAAGTCTCCACCACCACCCGTCTACAAATACAAGTCACCGCCTCCACCACCACCATACAAGAAACCCTACCACCCACCAACACCAATTTACAAGTACAAATCTCCACCACCACCGGTCTATAAATACAAGTCACCACCTCCGCCACCACCCTACAAGAAGCCATACCACCCACCAACACCGATTTACAAGTACAAATCTCCACCACCACCCGTCTACAAATATAAATCCCCACCTCCACCACCACCGTACAAGAAGCCATACCACCCTCCAACACCAATTTACAAGTACAAGTCTCCACCACCACCTGTATACAAATACAAATCTCCTCCACCACCGCCACACAAAAAGCCCTACCACCCACCATACCACTACAAGTCTCCTCCGCCGCCACCACCACCGATCAAACCCTATCACCCACCTCCAACCCCAGTAAAGCCATACCACCCACCACCCGTCTACCACTACAAATCTCCCCCGCCACCACCACCAGTCTACATTTACACATCACCCCCACCACCTCACTACTAGACACTAATCTCATCAAGGTACTAAGCACACAATCAAACAATGTCAGCTTAATTTTGATAACTTGAATGAAACATTAACCAAACGAATCTTTACTGTCATTTGTAGGAAGCAAAAAGAGGATGTCAGCAAATAAATGGCACGTCGATAAGCGTTAAGAATTGGAACAGGGAAGCCTGGAGGGTTGTCGTCGTTACTGGAGCTTCATAACTGTTGAATTTGCTGTTGTTTTAGGGTTTGTCTTGTTTTTTTCTTTTCCATGTCATTTTATTAGTTGTAATGCACTATATAATATATATATATATATATATATTAAAAATATGTGCTTCAAAAATCAGAGGTTGCTCATTTCCCAATAAAAAAGGTCTGTTTTTTAATTTATTTTTTTTATTTTGTTGTGAGGGCCCACATTTTTTGTTATTTATTTATTGACCCCTCTTTGGATTCTCTTTTGCTTTTTGGCTCAATTATTTACTGCCCTTTTTTTGTCACATGTCTACCATAACTAAGGCTATTGCAATTGTACTTTAATTCAACTACACCTAAGTTATATAATTGGGACTTAGTTGTGCAAAATTCATAAATGTGAGGATTTAATTGTAATTAATTTAGTGGATAGTTCGAAGTTTATGGTTTAAAGTCTAAAAGAACTACGATGATAATGGTAAAAAAACGTTTTTTTTTTTAAATAGATTGAACCTATTATTACAGAAATGATTCGAATATCTGGCGATCTTCTAAAAAAAAAGATATAAGATTCATATTTATTATTTTTTTCCGTTAATTTCTTTGAAAAATTTGCTTTTTAGTTTAAAAATATAGTGTTTCAAATGACTCAATGGGTCGTCAAGAAGGTAGAAGAGGTAGGATGGACAGTTGGTCAGATCTAGTATGGATCGTACATGGACGGCTCTCTTAGGGTTCCCTCATTTGGGATCCCTGGGGAAGAGGATCAAGTTGGCCCTTGCAAACAACTTGATGCACTATCTCCCTTCAACCCTTTGAGCGAAATGCAACAAAAGGAAGGAAAATTCATGGATCGACCCCATCGTCTCCACCCTGTAGGAACTACGAGATCACCCTAAGAACACCTTCGATATCCAGGGGTCGCAGACTGACCATAGAACCCTATTTAATAAGTGGAACGCAAGTCACAATCTATCACTAACATTGATTACAAATGTTAAATATTCTTAATTTTCATAATAATCTTAAAAGTAGGTGATAGGTTGTGACTTTCCAATGTTTGATATTTGAGATTTACGAGATTTTAATTATTAATATAACATATATTGTGAATAAATAGAATTTTTAAAGTAATCTTAACCCTACAACCTGGATTGGGTTGAATGGTGTAAGATCCGTTAGAGAGGGAACAAAGTATTTGAAGTAAGAGTGTAAAAACCACTCCGTACTGAATGCTTATTAAAATTTTGTGAAAAAATCTAAAAAAAGACAATATTTGCTTCGTTGGCACTTAATCAACTCAAAGTTTTAGGCTGATCCACGATCTTTTCAACCCAATTGGTGTACGCTATTAATATAGTGTAGAGATCTAAATCTCCCCCTTCATAGAAACGAGTAGATATCTTAATTACTATATTACCCTCATTTGATGTGATGTCACGTTTAAGATTTACTATAATCATTTAATAATAATTTTGTGTATGAAATAAAATATTTAAATGAAATATTTGAAACCATATAGATAACGTATATACACTGTATACATTAAAACATGTGATGCTGATAGTAAAGTTTCTTTAAGAACTGTCGATAGTGACAAGACATTACAATAAACAATGGATTAATAAATTAGATCCATGATTCAAATACCTACCCCTCATTTTAATATAATAAATTTTCCATATTCTTCCAATAATACAAATAATAAAACTATTCTCGGTCCGGTTAGATTTGTTTTGATGAGTACTACAATTTTGATACACGAATCGAAACCAATCATACACAAAATCAAGCGGATATTGTTCTCTTTGGACTTTTCCGACTTTTCCTCAGTTTTTAAAACATGCATGTCAGAGATAGGACAACCGAGGTGGGATCTCACAACTCACCTCCTTCGAGGTCCAGCGTCCTCACTGACATTTGTTTCTTTCTCCAATCTCCTTCGTTCTCCTCTTCAATCTATGTGAGATCTCACAACTCACACTCTTTGGAGCCCAATGTCCTCGCTGACACTCATTCTTTTCTCCAATCGATGTGGGATCCCACCAAATCCACCCCTTTCGGGTTCCAACCTCCTCACTGGCACATCGTCCCGTGTTTGACTCTGATAACATTTGTAACGGCCCACACCCACTGCTAGCAGATTTTGTCTTCTTTGGGCTTTCTCTCAAGGTTCTTAAAATGTCTCTGCTAAAGAGAGGTTTCCACAATCTTATAAAAGATGTTTCGTTCTTCTCCCTAACCGATATGAGATGTCACATAAATGAATGTATGTTCTAGATGCGAGTTGCTGAAGCTTTGAAGATTGGTTCAATTGAAATGAATTGGTCAATTGGATCGAGTTACCCTATTTTCATCGGTTGATTTCTTTTTTATTGTTTTTCGAGTTGGTTGCTACTTTGTTAATATTAAATATAATTTCATAGTTTAATGGAGAGATTTTAGAGAATTTGAAGGAGAAAAATGCCCATTGAGTTGAGTTAAGTAGAAATTTGGATTATTAACCCATTTAAGTATTCCTACTGATTAAACTTTATCATAAAACATAAACTTCATCTTAAAATAATGTCATAGACTTACGTGTTTTCGAGAGCATCTTTAAAGCGACACATTGAAATACTAAATGAAATAAATAAATATTAAAATTAAAAAAAAAAATCATATCCTAACCAAAGTCTTAAGTAAATAAATGCAACTACCCTATACATGTGGCATGGTCTCGAATTGCGACGTCGTCCTCAGTCGTGTAAGGATGTCTGGTCTTTACTAAAAAATGAAGATAACACATGGCTTGAGTATTTTAAGAAATAATCGGTAAGCGACCTCAGTGGTTACATGAAAACACATACAATTTCATGAATGGGATCTATCATATAGCCTATGACACGCTATCATAAATAGACAATTTGGATGTGTACTTAATTTCTCTACACATGGTTCGCATGTGCGAGTATAGACTCATTAGTCGGGCGAGCATTTTTTGGTAGTTATTGATGCCGGAAACCCGTTAGGAATAACAACCGTCACGACAGCATTATGATAAACATAATGATCGTTTCCCTGCCTCGTAGTGTACGTATCTGTACTATCATGAAGGAGAAGGGGTATCCCCCGATGCATGAGCATACAATAATGTCATTTTGTCATATCATTTATCATATCTTTTATGTGTGTGTCAGGGTTGTATTTCATGCTAGTTCGTCGTTTTGCTTGTCAATCATATCACATATGATTCATGTTGCGCATATACTATATCATAACTTATCATATCTTTGCACTTATTAATTCACACCATGCACATATCAGACCATATCATATATCATAAGAGTCACATGGCACACCATAACATTTCATATCACAATATATTATATCGTAAACATATCAATTCATTGCATACATCATAATATTCACGTATCATATCATACACATATCATTTCATAACAATTTACATATACAAGCATATGACACGTGCGAAGCCATGGGCATATGTCATCATTTAACATACAATTATAACCAAACCAACAGTCGGGCCCCTTACTTGGTTGACCTAGATTGGTTGACTTAGACCGAAGCTAATACGACTCCTTGATGCTAACTCTACTTACCGCACTGAAACTTAATTTTGACTAAGAAGTCCAACAATCATAAATTATAAATAGAAATAGACTCACTAATTTTGCATAAAATAATTTAAAACCTATTCTTAATAATTTAACTAGCTAAAAAATTTACTCCAATTAATTTAAATTAACTAAGCCTAATTATGCATAAATAATTTAAACTCGATTCCGAAAATTTAACTAGCCAAAAGATAGTCGTACTAACCTTAAATGTTTCCGAACAATTGAAACTAGGAGAAAAGGGTCTGAGCGTATCAAACCCAATCCAGATCAGCCAAAATACTGGTATTGAGCCATCAAAAATGTATTCTCCGACTTGCTTCAAACCATTCAAGTGAGATGCTAAAATGAAGTGAAGAACACATATGATAACTTATTTATTATCTTTTTTAATTTTTGGGTTATTACACAAACAACTCGAACTATATTATTTAATAAGAGATGTTTGAGCGGAAAACATCTACAATCAAAACAATTGAGTTTGGTATAAAAAAAATGTTATAACCCAATTCAACTTATAAACACTCTCTTTACAAAACTCTGGGGTTTAAACCGATACAATTATTAGTTTATGACTTCAAAGAATACAAACTCGAACACTTCTTATCATTATCAACTTCTTCCAACTAAGAATAATGATGTATGGCATAATCAAAGCATCATACAAGCATGTTAGAGGAAACTCATATTTGGAACAAAGAAGTCAATGAAGATAGATATTGAAAATGGGTAAGCAAAAAGGATGGGTATCACTTGCATACAAATTGGTAGCTTATTGTTGGGAGTAATTGAGGAATATGCCAAAAGAAACAAAGATGGGTAACCAAAATGGAGTTAGGAGCTCACATGCAAAGGGTTTCAAGGAGAAATGATGATATGAGGGCAAAGAACAAGTACAGTTCTGGTTTTGCGTCTGAAACACTCTTTGGGACCAAACATCATGAATCATTGAACATGTCGACTTGAATAAATATTTTCATTGAACTTGTCAGTCCAAAAGGCTGCTACCTTGTTTCTCAATATGTTTCTTGTTTATTTTTCTATCCCAAGATATTCATTTTCATTATGTATGCTACATACATAGTATACCTAACTTAGTTTTCATGGTCATTCCAACACCACCGTCATTCAAGCAGGAATACTTTACATTTGCATAAAATATAAGAGTAGCACGTGACTTGAGTATTTTAAAAAATGCTCAGTAAGTAACTTTACTGTTGGATCAAGTGATGCAAACACATATATACATAATGAAATCTAACCTTTAAAACAACATACCATGATCTTGAGATCTTTCCAGTCTAGTTAGAGTTGGATGTAAGGTACTTCCCTACACAAAACTCACGTACGCGTACAATGACCCATCAAGAAGACTCGTATACTTACCCCTTAAGCCTGGCTTGTGGGGCTAAATGCGCTTATGCGCCATTGTACACCACAGAGGGAAAGGCTCACATGATATCATGGTGAATATAGATATTAAAGGTATGTGTCGGTACTAATATAGCATAACAGGAAAGTACCCTAATGCATATGATATACATAAATGCATGAGGTCCCAATGACTTAAAATTATAGCATATAATAAGAATCATTTTGTTATTCCTCTCATTCATGTCACAGTGTACACATATGAGTCATGTATGCATAATACTCATCATAGACTTCACATGCATCATCATTAGTATAGTAATAATCTATAACCTGGTTTTACATGGCATAACATACATAGTATTATCATACATAACATGGCATAATAGGACATTATATACGTACATAGCATGACGTCGTAGGTCATCACATAACATACATAACATAACATAACATTCCTAAGTATGACACATGCAGGGACCGCGAGGCATGCGTCATCATACAACATACAATTCTTCCAACCAACCAACACTAGAGCCACTTACTTGTTTGCCCTTGATTGGTAGAGTCCCTAAATATTTTTAAGTTGGCCAAAGACTGTCCTTCAACGTCTTATTTTACTTATACGGATTGATGATACAACAATAGGATATATCAACAGATTTGAGACTGATGATACAACAATAGGATATATCAACGGATTTAAGGTTGAATTAGACTTTGTGAAACATATTCAGACTAGTACTAAGAATAATTAGTAACTCCGACGTAGGCCAACCAAGTAACTGGTTCTAATGTTAGCTTGGTTTATCATGTATGATATGCGTGTATTGTGGCCCCTTGCACGTGTCATAATTATGATTGTTATACTATGTCATGCTATCTTGTACTATGTCATTTCATGTCATGTCATGTCATGTTATATTGGGTTATGTCGTGTTTATAAACTATGCTATAGTGTGAATATGTCATGTTGTAAAATTATGTTATGATGTTGATAATCTATGATGCATAAACCTTCCTACACCATGTTAGGTAAGTTATGTTATGTATGAAAGATTTGATAGGAATTATGTATGCATATTCATAGACTAAGAGTATTATAAATGAATTATAAATGAATGAAGGTTTAACTTACCTCATAAATTTATGCCATGATTCTAATCTATGCGGATTTCATGCATTTTTTTTTTTTTTTTGTGTCATATGCATACGGTTATGATTTTAATCTATAGAGATCTCATGCATATATATATATATATATATATATATATATATATATATATATATATATATT